TTGGAGACTATCTCTTAATTATGTGTTCACTTTATTTGTATTGAAGTTTGGTATCTGGCTATTTTCTTTTTTTCTTTTTTCTGTTATTTTTGTATATTTCTCTTGTCATTTCTTGTCTTTTTCTCATTGGCTTCTTGGAATTTTTTTTTTTTTAATGTTAATCCTTTGTTAGCTATATGTGTTACAAACAGTTTTCATCCTTGCGAATACTTTTTCCACCCTGTCCTGTACCTTTTAACTTTGTAATATTTTTCACTGTTTAGAATGTTCATTTTTGTACACATATGTAGATATTTCTCTGATACTTTTAAAGTTCCAAAATGAATTTTTATCTAAAATTAATGAATGCAGAAGAAGTGAAATTTTCTAAGGCATAATAGGAAACTAGTGTTGCTAGGTTTTATGTTTTTGGTTTTGGTTTTTAATCAGGTGCCTAAGTGACAGACTTCCGTATTGTAAATCGGCCATGCAACTTTTCCTTAAACATTTCATGGTTAAACATGAACGTATTAAATGTTCTATTTTAGAGAAAGCTAATTCTCCTTCATAATATATTGCATGAATAGTAAATAAAATGTGGGAACTATAGAACAGAGAGAAGATAAAACATTTCTAACAGTCCTAATATCCAGACAACCATAGTTAGTGCTTTTGTGTATTTCCTGTATCATTTCTTTTTCTTTTTGCCCTTTTTTAAAAAAATATACTTATGGCTTAAGTAATTATAATTTAGGTAAGTTTTTTAGAAGATTAATTAATTAATTTATTTTATTTTTGGCTGTGTTGTGTCTTTCTTGCTGTGCGCGGGCTTTCTCTAGTTTCAGCGAGAGGGGGCTACTCTTCATTGCGGTGCACGGGCTTCTCACTGCAGTGGCTTCTCTTGTTGCGGAGCACGTGCTCTAGGCGCGCGGGCTTCAGTAGTTGCAGCACGCAGTCTCCGTAGTTGTGGCTCATGGGCTCTAGAGCGCAGGCTCAGTAGTTGCGGCGCATGGGCTTAGTTGCTCCGTGGCATGTGGAATCTTCCTGCACAAGGGTTCGAACCCATGTCCCCTGCATTGGCAGGCAGATTCTTAACCACTGCACCACCAGGGAGTCCTAGGTAAGTTTTTGAGTTGAAATTCTGCTAAAAGATAGTTTTCCAAATGTGGTTATTAAATGTGTAACTGTCTGTTTTTCAGAGTACTTATTTCATCTAAATGTAGATGAATTTCTTTTCTGTTTGGGTTGCAGCTTGTCACTTAGTATGAGCACCTTTGTGACAAGATCTTGTAACTGACTTGTAATAGTAGGGTACCCCTGACTGTGATGTCAGTTATTCTGATGTATTGATTGTACTGTCTGAAGAAAAATGTCACCTACATGTCATAGTACATGACAGAGCATTAGGTAGCACACTTGCCAGCAATGCATTAAATAAGGTCTACTAAGATGTTTTCCCCCCTTTGTTTATTTTTCAGTCTGCTGTTAGCCTAGCCCTAGACTATTTTTATTTCTTATAATATGCAAAAATATATTCTTATGAGTGTTTACTGGGTAGTAAAGTATGTTCAAGTTATAACCATTTGGACTTTATATGTGAGCAGGCACTTTTGCTCTTTTATGCTTTAGGATATATTTGTGACAGGTATCATGCATGTTATAAGTTCTTTTCTCATAAACAACAATATTACTCAATTTAAAATCTTTTATTTTAGTGGGTTTTGTAATCAGAGGTCTAGTGATAGGATGTTAAGTATAGAAAAATGTTTTAAATTTTAAAATGGCAAATTTTTTGTTCCTATTTTTAAATTTTCTATACTGATAGTTAGAATAGATGTTAAATATTTACTGCAGATGAGGTAACTCAGCCTCAGAGATGTGGTTTGTCTACAGTTACATAGCTAGAAAGTAGAAGACTGTAGGTCTTTTGGTCTCCCATGCCAGGCTGAATGGGAATATTTCCACTGATTTGGATTATACGTATTCTTGTATAACTCAAAACAATTGTAAGCACATTTTATATTATTTTGCATGAAATATGATTTGTATAAGTTGCATGTACTACCCAGAGGTTGATTGTTAGACAGCCATAGAACCATGTTTTCTCTGTTTACCCATTTAAAAACATGAAAAACCTATATGAAATAGGTTTTATATATCTATACATTTTTTATTTTATATGTTTACCCATATAAAAAAAAGACTTTTTTCTGTAATCATATTGAAAGTGTACTTTTTGCATCTTTTACTCAAAATTAGATAGGTAGAAGAGGATAAACCTTGTTTTATGGTAGTTTAAATTCTTTTATCTGCGGAAGAAAAAAATATTTTAAAATGTATTTAGTCATTAATTAAAATAGATTAGAGTGGATATAAATGCTAGAACTTTGGTCTAGAGCTCAGTAAACCCAATAGGTATGGCAGAGAAATAGAGGAAAAGTGGCAGGGCAAAGTGGCAAGTAAAGAACTCTGTAAAGGTAATAACACAGTGTGGATTGTTTTTCAAGGGCAGTGAAGCTGAAGAAGAAATAGCCACTTGCTGGTTGTTCTTTGTGCTTATATAATACCAGTCTTCTAGGTTACAAAGTAGGAATTTCCTAGGTTGAAATCACTTCTCAGGTTGTTTGTAGGTGGTTTAATCATTATGCAGGTGTTTGTCTGGTGTGTGGTATATTCCTTAAAAATTAGAATTGAAACTTCTTTATTCTAAAAGAGTGAACTGCTGTGATTTACCTTGATAATGGTGAATGAGATGAATAAAATGGATAGTCACTTGGGGGTTTTATTATCTTGGGACTTTGTGTGAATACAAATGAAAGAATTTGCCTCAAAGGAATATTATTTTGTAAAGAAAATAGACTTTTCTCTTTGTAGTATTGCATAACCTTTTGGGAAATCAGATTGACTGTTTTTATTGTTTTATGATTTTTTTGAATAAAATGTTTTGCTTACTGTTGCCTTTACTGAAGAATATTCTTCTATTGGTGATGGTTAATAATAACTACTCCCAGAAGAAAATTTTATTTCTTTTTCATTTTATAATTTATCATTTTAAAAATGTATATCTAAACAGAAGTGATGAAGTTGATAATTATTACCAAGCACAATTTAATTATATTTAAGAAATTAATAGTTTGATTCCTTTTCTTGTGCATGATAGTCTAGCTCCTTTAAAATCTTTTCTCTGGTGTTCTTTCGTATGACTTTTCAGATTATGTTAAGGTTCACCATTATAAAGCCTTTGAATAACATAAGCTTGACAATAATTAAGGGATTTGCGTGAGGCAGCTTATGTAAATCACAGTTGCAAACAACTTTTTAGTTTTCTGCCTACTAGGATATTTTAATATAATCTATATGGAGTGGTACTACTGTGTGAATAAAATACTTATGCATGACTGTTGACCTATTAACGACATCTAGTAAATTCATGTTGGTAGTTTAAAATTATTTATTAATGTGTATGGTTCTTCTTCTTTCTGGGTGACTTGTTCAACTCAGTATTTGTTTACATACTTATTTATTTGCTTTAACTGAGATGTCTTTGGTGGTTATGCGAAGATGCTTTTCAACAGGCTCCTGTTGTCTGTGTAATGTATAACCAGTTTCAGTAATCACATGATCTTACATTGGATGCATATTATAAACTTACCTACATGGTGAGTCGTTTTGAGAGATGCTTGTTACTTATATATGTTTCTCATAGTGGTTTTTTTAATGGCTTCAGTTTATTGAAGGGTACTTTGGGTACTTAGTGCCCTTTTGAGTTTGGCACTAAGACTACCCTCTTAGAATAAACCTGGTGAAAAGTATCCTGGGAAGGTTGATTATAGGCTATATGTAGAAGTGACCTGTCTTGACAGGAAATAAATGTGTCTTAGGATATCAGAGAAATGCCCAAGCCTAAAGATGATGGGGCATACGTTGGGACTAGAATAAGATTGTAATCTTTTTAATTACTACATATACATTAAATTATTTTTCTTAAGTATGTTTTGTCATTAGGGCCGTGTCTTCCTTTCTGGAAAAAGAGTTAGATAATATGAAGTTTGTGGTATATCCAGCACTATTTAGGTAAAAGAAAACAATTTAGGAGTCATGACTATTGTAGTCACCGGGGAGGTACTTTTATTACAAGCCATCAATAATAGTTGATGTCGTACTCTAAAATGTAAAGAACTATGCTACATTATCTTCTTTGTTTGGTATGTTCATGAGGATATTTAAAAATTTTTAAATTACATTAGCTGCTTAAATAATTTAACCCTCATAATATTGAGTTATCAGTGAATGAAAAGAGGGAAAAGAGTACTCTCTTCATTCATTTCAGTTATGGATACATTTTTACAGAAGATAGAAGAATTATAAATGTTTAAAAAGATCAAATACCTTGTATAGTTCTAGATTGGCTCAGCTGTGAATAGAACTCACTTGTCTAACTCTAGTCTGGACTATTCAAATTGTTCTATAGCCTTAATTTATGTGTGTGCATGTTTCTGTGTTATTTTCCTTTTACTAATACTAACTTTGCATTTGTGGTTGTATGAATTTGTGTTTTAATCTGCCACTTCCAAAATTAGATCAGAGGCTTTTTGTTTGTATGTTTTGCATGATCATGGTCCTTTATATATGTGTTCAGTACAGAGGGAGCTCAAAAATATTTACTAATTAATAGTTCTTAGACTAAATAGTTTTGATTTCTTTTTAATGAAAACACATATTTTTATGTATTTTTTTAATTAAAAAAATTTTTAAAGAAGCATAAAATTTCCTCCTTCTGTAATGCTTTCCAGTAGGTCTAAAACTATCTTAAAGAGTCATTTATTTCATTGCATATACTATGGTAGGTGAAAAAATATTTTTATAAAATGATTTCACTTATGTGTTTTGACTTTAATATTCTTATAAACCATTAATTTTTTAGATTTTTTCTCTACTTCCTTTCCCTTTTTCTTTTGTAACTTTATAAATGTGAGTTTAAAAAATAAACTCTATTTAATCATACTCTTTTTTTCTTTTAGGTTGTTATGGAGTTGATGGAGAGAGTGACTCTATTATGAGTTCAGCTTCTGAAAACTCCACTGAACCTTGGTTTTGTGATGCCTGTAAATGTGGTGTTTCCCCTAGCTGTGAACTATGTCCCAATCAGGATGGAATTTTCAAGGAGACAGATGCTGGAAGGTTGATGTCATAATTCTGTTGGGTTAATATGCCTGCTTTATAATGAGTATGCTTCTGACTATTTTTCTATTTATGATTTTCTGAGTTACACACTTTCATTTGATTGCTTCTTTGTGTCTTTTTGGCATAGAGTAAATGGACAGGAGGCTACAGATCAGGGCAGGGAGGAGAAAAGATCATTTATTGAGGATCTGCATTTGCCTTTATAACTCATAATCCCATTTAATCTCAGTAATGATCATATGATAAGAGAGATGGTAAAGTTTCCTATTTTATAGGTAGTACCTGAGGCTCAGATCATTACATAGTTTTAATTTGAACAAGTCCATAGTTAAATTTGAACTCAGATCTGTTTGACTTCAAGCGTATATCAGGAAACAGAACCCATACAGTGATTTTAAAAGGGGATGTTTAGTGTAAAGAATTACTAAGCTATGATAAACAGTAACCATAAGATATAAAAGAACTCTAAAGAATAATACCGTAGGGCTGAGGGAGAGTATCCAGGGAATGACAAACTTGGAATGAAGACACCTTCCCCAAGGCTGGGGTTCAGGCCTTGTTAGAGAAAGTGTAGTTCCAGCCTACTGGATGGCAGAGAAGTTGGCTGGTTTGCCTGGATCACTACCTAGTCTACAGTTCTTGGCAAGTGGGTGGCTGGGCAGTGGTTCAAAGCCTGGAGTGTATGGTGTCTGTGTTGAGAGGCCCACAGAAAAGTGATCTGCAGCCTGGGCCTGCAGGGTCACTGAGGGACGATGCATGTGGTGGGGCAGAGCACTGGTGGATGTCCTCTTCCCATCCTGCAGAGAAGCCCCTTCCTGCTACAGTGCCTTCTTCCACTCCCTACTGAGACAGCTTAGTATGATATGATGCTTACTGTAAAGGAGAAATGCTGAAGGGATTCTGTTCATTGTTGCAAAGCAGATATTGAAGGGTGGATTTGAGCTGAGAGGCAATAAATTGATAACTGGCACTAAGACCTATGTTCTTTTCACTATATTCACACTCATCTTTATTACCACATTTGAGAAGTTGTCATCATCATAGCGTTGGCATCTTTCATGGTTTTTTTCTAAGGAGACTACCAACTAGGATGGGTGACTGATGTATAAGATAGTTCCTAACCTTTTATATTTTATGGATTACTACTACCCTCCTCCCCCACGTAAGAGGGGATGCTCAATTTTTTATTTTGCCACATATGTATATTTCAGTATTTTTACGAAACATTTAATATTTTAACAAGAATAACAAAATAACTTGTACAAATTATCAACATTATTTTTCATATTTTAACATCTTGAAAAGGATAGGATACATTTTATCCCAAAATAAAGGACAGTCTTTTAAATATAATAAATTTTTTTTAGTAAAGTAAAAAATATTTTTCTCATTTTTATCTCAATTGGCGGGCAGGGCCTTGAGAAGTATTGCCATACAAGATTGTTGGGATTGCATAAGGTCTACCATGGAATCTTAGAGAACCCTGTGTTGATGTTTAGGAAAAATGACTAAAAATCTTACCTCTTGTCTGTCATAAGCTCATCCCCAAAATAAAATAAATATATAACAAATTATTTGATGTATTGACTTGAGTCTCTGGTCTGTATCGTGGACATGAGCATTATTTTATGTTTGGAGTGACTTTGGCCTAGAATTAGGGAATTTAGTACAACCTGAAAAGCGTGTACTTTCAGGTTGGACCACCTATATTTGAATTCTAGTCTTTTCTTACTAACTGTGATTTTAGATTTAACCATTTTATGCCTCAGTTTCCTGGCACTTTTGAGAGAATTAAATGAGATGATTTCTGTAAGCAGTGTAGTTTCTGGAATTAAATGAGATGATTTCTGTAAGCAGTGTAGTTTCTGGAGTGTAGTAAGTGTTTTAATAAATATCTCCTTAGTTCTGCTACTGCTACTACTAGTGATATTTATTACCAATATTATTCTACTTACTTAAGGTAATCATAGAATACCAACTGCGTAAATTCTTTCTTAGTAACTCTTTAGTCCTGAGATTTGAAATTTATGGTGATAAATTGTTGTGAATAAGTATGGCAGGTTTGGAAAACAGAGCTTCGTTTTAGGGAAGAGCGGTTATTTTACCTTTTTTCTCGTCAGTAATTTGAAATTTCTATTGAAAAGCAACTATAAAGTAACTATAAAGTAAGTAGCTCTCTTATTAGTACATATATAATATGTACTAATACATAGTCCACAAAATAACTTGGAAAGTTTTTCTGAATGAAGAAAAGGGAGGCCTCTTTAACCATTTAGTTTTACTGGGAGATATTTGTATTGACTTCTGTGGATCTTACATGTATGTAGACACCTCCCTTCATGGTGTAGCCTGGCAAGTTTTTTTTATACTGTTTGAACATTTTATTTGTGTTGATGTTCACACTCACCTGTAGGCTAGTGTGGAAATTACAGGTCTTGATGTAGTTTGAAGGATGTAATACTAGCTTGAATCAAGGCAAAAAAAGCCAAGAGATTTGACAAGCTATTTAGTATTGTAGCTAAAATGCAAAACAGATGAAAAGAAAGAACAATGCATGGAAAGAATGAAAAAGGTTTTGAAATTGACTTCTATTACATAATCTAATAGACTTTTCCCCCCTCTGTTTCTGATGGGAGCCACAAATTCTACAATAGAAGATGATGTGATTTAATGTGAGAAGACCATCAGCACATTCTGATCATTAAATTTTTATTTTTTTTCTTGGGGAGAGTGTTTCATCCTGTGTTAATGGTATTAAAAACCTGATTATAGGAAGTATTAGACATACTTTAATAGGGTACCACACCCTATGCTGCAAACATTTCACATAAATCATTGTAACTTCCAAACTTCCTGCATGGTGCTCCATTCCTAGTAGACACTTAGTAATTAATTACTGAATGAATAAATGAAGGAATGAAAATAACATCCTGGAAGTGAATTTTTTAATATGTTACAAAGGCACTACAAATACAAGACATTTCAAAATCAAATTTGATTGATGAATATAGTTCCCATTCTGAAATGAGTTTTTTGAGAAGTAGCTTTCTACTTAGTTTGCTTTATTAAAATAGGTAAGTTTAAAAGAATCTATTAATAGCTTCTATGCTAGAATGACAATTCTGACTCTTTGTTTTTCGGTGGATTTATGGGATGCTTGTTTTCTGCTCCTTTCCCTAATCAACATCTGTCTTCATAGCTCCAAGCAGAATGGATGGTAAAGTAACAAGGAAAATTATTCCTTTTTGATTTCTCAGTTTGTCTTAATTAAAAGGTTCTAAAGTATGTGCAGCTAAACAAATGAACAAAAAACTATATACAACATATATTAAAAAGGACCAAAATTGGCTCAGCTGTTTGATATGTATTTTAATAAAGAGTCAAGTTGGGATCCTCACATGAGTGGTTGGGGGAAATGATATGCTTGTGTGCCAATCACACTGAAATGGCAGTTTAAATTTGTAGTACTGGGTGACTTGTACTAAAACATTTTAAGAAGGTCAGTAGGAAGCAAGCAGCCAGCTGTTGGGTTTATCAAAGATGAACTTGTACAGAGTACAGCAGCATTTAACACACCAGTGGAGCATGAGAAAACTGTGCAAATTAAATTGAGAAAGCAGCTGCTTGTTGAAGATGTGTATCTTTATATTGAACTCCACAGGGTGCATTTGGGAGGTTGGATTAAAACATTTTATCAAGAAAATCTCAAAACCTTGGAGTTTCTTCCCAATAAAAAAAGATAATTTTTAAAGATTTGTAACTATTTTCCCCAGTACAACTATAAAGTGATTCTTAGTCTTATTTCTTTAAAACTCATAATGCATCACAAAACAGAACCATGTAGCAGTGATAGCCTCTCAAGCTGTGCTAAAGCAAAATTTGTTAATATTTTCACAAGGTTAAGAGATATTTGCCATCTCATTTTTACCCTGTGTCTTGCAGAAGTGATATAGATCTGTTTACATTTCAAAATCTAGTGATCCTGTGTTTTGTTTGATTGTAAGCAAACAGGGTGCCTAATATATTTTAAAAATGTTCAGAGCAGTTTTTAAAAAATGGAATTAGAATCAACTCCTATTTATTTTTTCTGCTTAGTATACTGAAACTGAACATTCTTTGTTTAGTGTTGTAGCATCATTCAGACTTCAAAAAATATATGTGGGGCACATACGTTTTAGTACATAGGTTGTATGGTGAACAGATAAGTTGAATGAAATATGACTTGCTTATGTTATTACAACTGTTCTGTACCATCTTCTAGCAATCAGTTTCAACCTGAGAAGAAATAAAGTTAAGGTGCACACCAAAAATTGTTTTAGGGCTTCCCTGGTGGCGCAGTGGTTGGGGGTCCGCCTGCCGATGCAGGGCACACGGGTTCGTCCCCCGGTCTGGGAGGATCCCACGTGCCGCGGAGCGGCTGGGCCCGTGAGCCATGGCCGCTGGGCCTGGGCGTCCGGGGCCTGTGCTCCGCAACGGGAGAGGTCACAACAGTGAGAGGCCCACATACCGCAAAAAAAAAAAAAAAAAAAAAAAAAAAAAATTGTTTTAAAATATGTCCTTAAGGATTATCTAGTAGCTTTTAGAAAAAAGTAACAGGAAAGAGCAATTTTATGTGATTTATGCAGAGTAACTTCACAAGTCTTAAATTAGGATCCTTAATTGTCAGAGTGCTTAAAATAATGAATGTGAATACCTTTCCATGCATATGAAAATGATGTTGCATTTGAATAGTGGTTTTGTGCAAATATTAAAGTATAACAGATAAGTGCAAAGTGTGATGAATTTTAAGTGAAAGGCAATTATAGATGTTAACTCTCACCTTTGGCTAAGCTGCTGGAAAAGTAACGCTTATTGCAGTCCCTTTTTCTATAAATGATATCATTGTATAGGTGTTCCATATTCTTTAGTTGTGTGTCTGAGATTTTGAAATCTGATCATAAAATTCTTGGAGTAGTTATTTGAGATGACACATAATTTTACATTTATTTTCCTGTGGGCATTTTTTCCGAAGGTCTGATAGCAAAATCATATCTTCTCTCCTTATAGATGGGTTCACATTGTTTGTGCCCTGTATGTTCCCGGTGTAGCCTTTGGAGATATTGACAAATTGCGACCAGTAACACTAACAGAAATGAACTATTCCAAATATGGTGCCAAGGTAAGACAAAGTGTTTTTGATTGTCTAAGAGAAAGTTTTTACTTGTGAGTTTACATGACTTTTTACTAATATCATTGTTGACTACAGAAACGCTTATTACTAATTGTGCTATTGGAGAGCAGTTAGCACTAAATCATTTAGTATTGATAGTAATTTTCCCAGAGAGCCAATAATGTATAAATTCTTCTATATATTTGTATAACTTGTGGGGTAAAATGGTAGTTAATGCCACTGCTGTTTTCCTCGTATTTAGCACACTGCTTAGTGCATAATGAATTCTCAGACTACATCCTTATTTTTAATCAGTTGGATCAAATACAAGCTTAATTTCTGACTTTACTTTTGAAGTGGAATTTATTAAAATTATGAAAAGAGTACAAGAAGCACCCATTATTTTACTTCCACTGCAGAAGGCCAACAGAATTTTTTTTTTTTAACTAGCAAATGATCCTCAGCCTCCATAGTTTATAAATAGGTTTTTAATTATGACTGAGTTTTAGGATTATAAGTGATAAGATTACCCACTTATGAATTTAAACTTAAGTATATAATTATTGCAAACATCTTCGGAATACTAGAACTAATTAGGCAATGATATATTCTCTTTCCATTACTGTGTATTGGGCAGTTGGGAAGGAAGACTCTTGAAGAGCATTAGTAACATATTAAAGGTGGGGTGGGAAACTTACAGATTGTTGGAAAATTCTGATTTGAAATTTTTAAAATTTCACAGTTTTTGTTGTTATATCCAGAATATCCTCTTTGGGCTTTAAACACCATTCCCATCCATCACCTTCTACCCTCGAATAATCTTGTGCTTTAGTTTGGGAGGTTGCAGCTTCCCTCTCCAGAATTAGATAAAGCTTCCAGGCCCTAGTATTGAACTTAACTTTCCTGGTGCTCAAGTAATTGTACACTATCTTGTTACCTCTCTTAAATGCCTTTAAACTATAATTAACAAAATAATTTGTCCACATTTTCTAGTTGAGTAGGGGTAATACAAATTGCCTGGTCCACCAGTGTTGGAAATGGAAGTTACTACCTTTTGAGGGCAGTTTCATAATTCAAGAGCACAGAGCTTAGAAGGGAGTAGCTTCCATCTTTTTCAATAAGCACATATTTTTATCATAAATATAAATCTAGAAGCAATTAAAGAACAGTAACCAGATATTACTTTATATAACTGAGACCAGCAGTGACCTCTGGACTGAAAAGGAGAGTCATTAAATGTATAATTATCAGCTGATTATTTTCATTATCACCTGCTTTTGTTTTGAAGTATTACTGGGACATGGAGTCAAAAAGTTACGTACTCTCTAGCTCATCTGCAAAATCAAACCCAGTGCTGTGCATTATATCTGGGATAGCTCTCTAGATCACATTGTCTGTCCATTTCCTCCTCCTGATTACTTTCTCCCCTGTGTTCTCAGTTGCTTAGTTCCCTAGCATTTTATTTATTTACTTATTTTTAAATTTATTTATTTATTTTTGGCTGCATTGGGTCTTGTTGCTGTGCATGGGCTTTCTCTAGTTGTGGCGAGCATGGGCTACTCTTCGTTGGGTGCACAGGCTTCTCATTGCAGTGGCTTCTCTTTGTTGTGGAGCACAAGCTCTAGGCACGTGGGCTTCAGTAGTCGTGGCTCCCGAGCTCTAGAGCGCAGGCTCAGTAGTTTTGGCACATGGGCTTAATTGATCCGTGGCCTGTGGGATCTTCCCAGACCAGGGCTTGAACCCGTGTCCCCTGCATTGGCAGGCTGATTCTCAGCCACTGTGCCACCAGGGAAGCCCGTTCTCTTGCATTTTAAATGATTCAAGCAATTGAGGAAGATTCTGTTTTCTTTATTAGATTGTTGTATTGTCTTATGAGACTTCATTGTTGGAAATTTTTTCTTTGTGTCCACTCTGAAATCCCTTGCCCAATTTCATCATACTACGTTAAATTACTCACTCAGGGGACTATCCTAAACAATTTGATTCTGTTCATAGTATTGACATCCTTTAAATAGTTTAATTTCTCCGTTTCTCCCTCTCTGACCCCCTCTCCTTCTCTCTTCTTTTCTTTCTCTCTTTCTCAATTTTTTGGTTTCGTGTTTAGATTACTATTTGCTGGAATTTTTACTGTACATATACTACTGTTGGTGGAAAAAGACCCATAATTAGGCAGTAGGGTGTCAGGTGTTGGGAATGTTTTCACATCTGTACCCAGAGTCCTGTTCCTGCTATTTTTATTCATTGCTGATATATCAGTTTGATGCTGTATACCAAGTAGGTACTCACTAACTGTTATAGTATTAATATGTTTTTAGTGTCTATTGAAACTTAAAAATTTTTTTTAAATGTTTCTCTCATATTTAATTTACGTAGAATACATTTATTAAGCAGTTCTTCCTTAATTGTCTACTGGCAATCTTTCACAATTTAGCATGTTTTTTTGTGAAGGTTCCTATTACCAGAGTAGTGTATATTTTGAGACTAGGTTTTTCTTTTTCTCTCTCTGTGGCTTAGTTAAAAGTATAAAAAAAATAAATCGGGGTGGTGGCATTTGGGGTAATTTCAACAGTTTATGCCTTTAGTTTTGCAGGTTTTCCCTTTGTATACAGAAAGAATGTAAATAATTGGCTATATTGTGTATTACTACCAATTTCACAAAATTGTTTACTTAAGATTACTTCTAATTCTCTTAAATATATTTTTAAAATGCATTATATCTTTGGTTGCAGTGCCTAGATCTTTCAGTGAATTTTCTCTGGCTTCTTATTTATTTTCCTTAATTTTTCCGAGTAGTATTACATTGTTCAAATCAGTGTAGCTTAATGGTTAAGAGCATGGACTTAAAGTAAGATTATCCTGGTTTGAAAACTGTCTTTACCTCAGTTTTCTCATGTGTAAAATTTTCTCATATGTAAAATGGAAATATAGTACCTCTTCCACATATTATTGTGGAATAGAGTATCAAATGATTATATATATTAATACTTATAAAGTGCTTAGAATAGTGCCTAGCACACGGTAAGCCCTCAAATGATGTTAATTATTATTATCCTCATTACTATATCAGTGGAATTTTGTTTTTTTAGAACTATATAGAGAATTACTTTTTTCATATAAATACTTGCCTATAGTTATTGTTTGTATTGATATACTGTTGGTTCACTATTTGTATTTTGTAGATGCTTTGTATGAGAATGCAGTTTCTGTTCTGGAAATATTTTTGCTCTGAGACTTTTCCTGTTATTCCATTGTAGGAGTGTAGCTTCTGTGAAGACCCTCGTTTTGCTAGAACTGGAGTTTGCATTAGCTGTGATGCAGGGATGTGCAGAGCCTATTTCCATGTGACCTGCGCTCAGAAGGAAGGTCTGCTTTCAGAGGCAGCAGCAGAGGAGGTAGGTTGATTTAAATCCATAGTTGGTGAATATGTTCATGAGACTTCTCATGACTCCGTTATATCCTACAAACAGGTATGCATCATAAAATAAATTTACAAGTTTATTCTTAAAATCTTTGTCTAGATCACAGATCTAAAACTTTAAGAGTAAACAATATATATGAGTTTCTTCAGTCTTAAACCTAGCCAGACATTTAGAAAACATGTTAAAAATCTTATGGTGAAATCTGACAGATAAAATGAAACATAATTCAAGGTGTTTTAAAGCATTATAATGTCAGCATATTTTATATGAGAATCTGAAATATTTGAGTAATAACCTTGCTCTGTTACTCTTTAAATAAAATCATTACCCTGTCTTCAGTCTTCAGTATTTGCATTTCTATTTCTTTACAATTATTTTTAATTCTAAAATTTTCCTACCAGAAATTTAGATTAAGCAGTCAGTTGTTTTCATAGTATGTATTTGGGACTCTTTAATATTCTTTCAAGGTCTTTGAGGTTAAAACTGTCTTCATAACAGTATTAAAATAGTATATACTTTTTTTTGCTCCTAATATTCTCACATGTAATAGTGGAGATTTCTAGAGATTATATAGCTATCTTCTTTAATGTCCACTATCGAGATATTAAAGAGGTTTGTAAAAATGTAAAACAGTGCCACTCTTCTCACTAAATTTTTTTTTGTGTGTAAATTATAGTGTTTTTCATAAAAATGTTAATTTTGTTAACATGTAATGGCCTTATTGTTATTTTAAAAATTACTCAATTTTAACTTCTAATATGCTCTCTATAAATATAACTCACATAAGCTCTTTGGGGTCTTCAAAACATTTTAATACTGTAAGGAGTCCTGAGAGCAAGTTTTGTTGATTCTTTAAGCACTTTATATAGGCAGGTAATTGAGTATTCTGTCATTCTTACTTTATATTTGGGATATATTGTTATATATATATATGTTCCATCTTTCATTGGGTAAATTTTCAGTGTCATGTAAAAATATGTTTTTTATGTTGGGCTTTCATCTTATTCCATTTATTTCATAGACAGGAAACAAGTAAAAAATAATCTGATGAAGAAAATTTGTTAAGCAAATTTTGAAGGATATATTTTATCAATATAGAGATCCTATTGAAATTATATTTTGGGTACATAAATCTGTTTTTGTGTCAGTCTCTGATTCTGATGAGTTGTACTTTAATTGAAGAAGGGTACTAAATGAACACTGAGCGTTTTCACAGCTGTTTGGTACACACAGAGGTACAATTATAAAATAGGGTTGTGTGGATGGCTATAACTCAAGATGATGAGCAAAAGTGCAGAGAGACAATACAAGTAAGACTCATGATCAGATAAATCTCAGTGAACAGCTGGATCAGCAAATCCATAGGTTAAAGTATTACTCTACTGGCAAACTTTGAGTTTTGCCACCAGAAGGGTTCCTTTGTAGCCATTTTTTTAAGAACTTGTAGAGAGAGCTTTGCCTTTTATGCTTTGGTAGTTTGGGTCTCTTTGTATAGCACCATCCATCATTATTTTTGGTAGACAGTAGCCATTTAATTAATGAAACTATGTGAAGTAGCCATGTATGGGACAGTGGAGTATAATGGGGTCTATAGTGATTTAGAGAGTGTATCCCCACATCTAAAGGCATTCAGATTGAATTGAAACAAAACACAATATTACACTAAATAAATAGTTTGCAGTCTGTGGTCTCTATGTCTATATCTGTGGGCTAATCTGGAGAAATTTACAGGGAAAGTTAAATAAATCTGGATGTGGAAAGTAGGCCTGAGGCTTTTTCCTTACCTTGCTCCCTCCCTTGATTGATTAGGTAGGAATCCTGGATTCTGGAATAATGACTTTTCTTCCCATTTGCTGTCTTGTTAAATGAACTCTTTTTGGGGAAATAATTTAAAGCATATTTACATATGTTTATGGTTTCCTCTTATAAACAGTTTATAGAATTGGAAAATCGTAAAGATTTCTGAACAGTGTTTTAAAACCCAAGACTTTGCGTGAATCAGTATCAATGAGGTTTGCTCTTGACAGTAAGCATTCTGTTACAATGAAATTCTTGGCTACTTCTCATGGTTGTCCTTCTGTAGATTAAGATTTACGTAATGTATATTTCATTAAAAAACAAATTTTAAACTAAAATAGATCTACTCTTTGTGGGTACACCTTGTTTTCTGTTTCAGTTTTATGACATTCTAGAAAGCGTTTTTTATTTCTTTTTTAAAGACTGGTTTATTAAGTTGGATTTCTTACTTCTTTTTTTTTTTTTTCTTTTTTGCGGTATGTGGGCCTCTCCCCGTTGTGGCCTCTCCCCCTGCAGAGCACAGGCTCTGGATGCGCAGGCCCAGTGGCCATGGCTCACAGGCCCAGCCGCTCCGCGGCATGTGGGATCCTCCCGGACCGGGGCACGAACCCGTGTCCCCTGCATTGGCAGGCAGACTCTCAACCACTGCGCCACCAGGGAAGCCTGGATTTCTTACTTCTTAATGACTGTTTTATATAGGCAGTAAAAGAAAGGTTGAAAAAGAGAATAAGTATCTCAGTTTCATTCAATGACATCATACACCTTAGCATATTTTCATGTTTTTTTTATAGCCTTCTGACATAGTACTTTATCTTACTGGTGAGAATGCATTTGAAGTTTCTATTCTTTTTGATCCACTTTGTGAAAATTCTAGATTATTTAGAATATTTAACCATGTTATGTTACAACGTATCTTATTATTATTAAAACTGAACTATAGGGCTTCCCTGGTGGCGCAGTGGTTGAGAGTCCGCCTGCCGATGCAGGGGACACGGATTCGTGCCCCGGTCCGGGAGGATCCCACATGCCGCGGAGCAGCTGGGCCTGTGAGCCATGGCCGCTGAGTCTGCCCGTCCGGAGCCTGTGCTCCTCAACGGGGAGAGGCCACAACAGTGAGAAGCCCGTGTAGCGCAGAAAACAAAAAACCCAAAAAACAAAAAAAACTGAACTATAGCACAGGCTCAGTTATGACTGAAACTTATATTATTTTGGTTCACATCATATAGTTAGACTTAAGGTTACTTATATTTCATTTAAACCATATGGTAGTATGGTAGTATGATAAAGTATGATTTTGGTACTGTGAACATTGTTATAATTTGTTACCATGTAGAAAATTCTCTTTGAAACATGTAAGATAATTTATCAATTTTTTCCCCACAGCCTTTGATAATGCATTGAAATCATTCATGGATTAAATTTCAAAGGCTCAAATTAGATCTTTAGCTGTTGAACTGATGCCTTAATATTGCTAGAAGAACCAGGATGGATAGGAATGGCTCGTGGTGGATCAAAAACTTTTTAAATGAATTCATCAAGAAGTTATGTTACTTAAAGTTAGACATTTTATATCAGATCTTCAGTGATACCTTTATGTGGCTGTGTTAGGCATTATTTTAAAAATTATTCTGGATGAACTCTATGAGAGTTACTCAGATCACTTTCTCTCTCATTCCACGTCTAATCCATTAGCATATCCTGTTTTCAAAGTATATCTAGTATATGTCCAGATTCTTCTTACCACATTCATTACTGCACTATCCTAGTCTGTCATCTTTTGTCACCTGGATTAATATAACAACCTCCTAACTCTTTCTACCCTTGCCTTACTAGAGCAGAGGATGGCAATTTTTTACTACAAAGAGCCAGATGTAAATATGTTAGGCTTTGTGGGCCTATGGCTTGTGTGTAACTATTTAACTTTGCCATTGATTATGAAAACAGCCATAGACAATACATAAACAAATGAACATGGCTGTGTTCAAATAAAACTGTATTTCCAAAAACGGGCAGCACCAGATTTGGCTTTCAGGTCATAGTTTGCCAGTCCTTTTCCAGAGAATAGAGGACATTTTCAGTATCAGCTAGTATTATCCCATTAAAATCTAAGTCAGATCTGGTCACTCTTTTGCTCAAAACCCTTCAGTGGCCTTCTTTCTGATTCAGACTAGAGGCCAGTTTCTCTGCTGATTTATAAGATTCTGTGTGATCTGGCTTCACATTACCTCTCTGACTTCATCATTTCCCCTCATTCAGCCTCCTTGGCCTACTTGCTGCTCCTTTAATGAATGGCCAGGTGAGCTCCTCCTCTGGGCCTCTGTACTTGTTTCTCTGCATGGGCTGCTCTTCCCTCACATGGCTCATTCCCTCACTTTTTTTGGGTCCTTATTCCATGTCTACTACTCACTGGTCTAAAGTTACAACCCTCTGCCTCCCATGACACTTTCTATTCCCCTTTCCTGCTTTATTCTTCCCTTTTAAAAATACTTAACCACTATCTAATATAGCTCTAGTAGTTTTCTGGTAGTGTCTTTTGGATTTTCTATGTATAACATCATGTCATCTGCAAACAGTGATAGTTTTACTTCTTCTTTTCCAATTTGCATTCCCTTTATTTCTTTTTCTTCTCTGATTGCTGTGGCTGGGACTTCCAAAACCATGTTGAATAAAAGTGCTGAGAGTGGACATCTTATCTTGTTCCTGATCTCAGAGGAAATGCTTTCAGCTTTTCACCATTGAGTATGATGTTAGCTGTGGATTTGTCTTATATGGCCTTTATTATGTTGAGGTATGTTCCTTCTATGCCCACTTTCTGAGGAGTTTTTATCATAAATAGACATTGAATTTTGTCAAAAGCCTTTTCTGCATCTATTTAGGTGATCATATGGGTTTTTAAAAATAAATTTATTTGTTATTTATTTTTGGCTGTGTTGGGTCTTTGTTGCTGCGCCTGGGCTTTCTCTAGTTGGCAGTGAGCGGGGGCTGCTCTTCCTTGGTTGCGGTGCACAGGCTTCTCATTGCGGTGGCTTCTCTTGTTGCGGAGCACGGGCTCTAAGCGCACGGGCTTCAGTAGTTGTAGCTCACAGGCTGAGCAGTTGTGGCTCGCGGGCTCTAGAGCACAGGCTCAGTAGTTGTGGCGCACGGGCTTAGTTGCTTTGTGGCATGTGGGATCTTCT